CTAAAATAGGTAGTTTAAAGTGGTTTCAGTGGCAAAGTTATTATTACCATTATGCTTCTGAATTTGTGAATTACCCGGCATTTTTAAGGACCATGCTACGACAAGGAAGGTATGATTATGGTATTGTGGATAGACTGCGAATGAGGGGCTGGCATTACTGGTGCCAGAACAGGCTGGGTTTGGATAAGCTGAGACTGCTGCTGGTAGGAGGCAACTTTCCTTTCGCCCACTGAGTTTTTACGCTCCCCAGGCTGCAGAAGCAGCGCTATAAAAGCTCTCTCGTGTGTGCAGAGGACCCCGTGCACGGGGGGCAAGAGTAGTGGGAGCAGAGCAGGCGAACGGGAGCTTCCGGCTGAGCTTCCCAGTCCCTGTCCAGGCTCCTGCTGGGTCCTGGCATCTCTTGCCACACCGAGGTTCAGTTTCTTATGAACAAAACCCATCGGCAGACAACTCTGCTGACCTAGAGGTTTTAATCTAAAATGGGGTCAATTAAACAAACTGAATTTTCTAGAAAAAGTTAACCTTGTGCAACATATGTCTAACTACATTAGTAGTGTTAGCCCGAAAGCACAGGCACTTTTTATTTAAGGCATTGAATCCAATAAAGCTGAAGAAAATAAAATGCTTCAACCTGCTCCCCTGGCAATACAAGGTTTCAGAATGAAACCCACAGTTCCTCTAGAAAGAAGATGTGTGTGCTTGTGATAGAAAGCGAACTGGTGCCAAATTTCTATATTCTGACTTTATTATTATAAAAATCATACTTCAGAAGCTGTACTTAATCCAGAATATAACTTTGCTTAAAGTAAAGACTTATTTTTAGTTCCGTGTGTTTCCAAAGAATAGTTGGTACTGCAGTGCTCTGCATCAGGGACCCATAAAATCCTGCTGCTACTAGCAGATGTGACTGTGACTATGAACAGTATGATGCAAACCTAAAAAGCTTTTACACTGTTACAGTTCATCAGCTAAAAACTTATTTCCAAGCTTTTTATTTCAATTCTTTCTTCTCCAAAAAAAAAAACAAAAGCCCAAACCTAAGGCAGTGATAAGCAAAATGCTTTAATATGAGCTGCAATGCCCATGTGAGCCTGGCAACTCCTCAGGTTTTTTCCTTAAAGCCTTGGCTAATAGGTAATCGACAGCTTCTCACTGAGGTATCAGACACAACTATGTCATATTTTGCAGTGAAACAAATGCAATATGGCATCTGTGAAACAATGCAGAGCTTGCAGACATCCTTCCAGAAGTGACTATGTCTTAATCTGCAGGAATCCACCATAAAATGCCTTATAAATGCAATATGTTATCTAAGCAGTCTCTCTAGTTCTCAGACACAAATGCAAAACAACTGCTCCTAGAAGAGAAAAAAAGGGAAAGGTCAGCCTTTAATTATGTTTTGACAAAACACAATCAGGAAAAAAATGATTCAGAGAAAAAGATTCTTGACCCACAAAAGAGCTGCAAAACTGAACATACTGAAGCATATGGGGCTGCGGTTGCATGGAGAAATGGACTACAAGAAATTCCAAAGATATGTTTGTAACACCAGTCAGGGAAAGGCTGTTGTTTAATCTCTATCCCTAAAAGCTGATATGGTCTGACAAATGAAAATTTGTTTCACATTAGAGGCTTGTTCTTTCAAAATGAGAAGTTTAAATGCACAGTGTTCTGACCTAAAATATTCAATTTCTAGCCTGAACTCCTATGCTAAGGGGGATTATGAGATCATACTGTCTGTCAACTCCTCTTTCGTCCATCTGTTCCCCTCCTCCTTTCCTTGATACCTTTTGAACCTGCCGGCTCATTTTGACTAAATTTGACAAAGCAGAGATAGGATGGGGCCTGCAAAGGTATTAAGTGGTGAAAACTTTTATGAAAATCCAGTGTCTGGGTAGAGAGAGAACTAAATTATTTCCTATGCTCAGTATGCCTGAAGGCAGGCACAACCGACCTCTTAAGTGTTCTGAGAGGTGGCTGCTGGCCAACACGTATGTGGCTCCCAACCAGCTACAGAATTTGTATATTCCCCTACTCGCCCAGCTAGACAGACAGGGTTGTTGGTTTTGTGAAAGACCACATGGGAGGTGTAATGCAATCATATGTGTGCGAGTCGGGGTGGGGGGGGGGGGGGGGGGAGGAGGAAAGAGGGAGAGGAACTGGCAACACAGGGAACTGAAGATACTAGCTACAGCAATCTAGATGGCCGATTGTCAGTTTACTAAATCCTCCTTTACCACGTCTTCTTCCTTGTAGGATGTGGATTTCAATTGCAGATCTGAATAGCTCTCAGCACAGCAGGATTTTAGATTTACTACAGGACAAGTTGACTTCAGTGACAGTAACTGACTGACCTGAAACTGCCATTGTCTCATGAAATAAGCTAGCCAATACTTTTGTTCCTTCCGGATCAGAAAGATGCGGTGCACTGAATCTGCAAGACCATTTGAAAACTTAAGGTGGTCTAAATTGTGCTGCATATCGGACAGTAATCCTAAGGTGAGGAATTCTGGCTCGTTCTGCCTGTGAAAACTCACTGCCAGATCAGGGTTTCATTTAGAAGTGTATTATTTCACATGGACCACACTATACTACGAATCAACATTCTACGCTTTTTCCAGGCAATGCAGGTGCTGATTTTGGTCTACAGAAATTCATGTGAGTTAGTCCTAGCTGGGCTGAACCGAAGAGGTTGTTTATTTCCCTGCGTTGACTCATATCAAAAACTGATTAGAGAAGCTGCACATTTAGGACATGTAGTTGGAGGGTTCAACCACCCACATAACAGACTAGGTCAATGCCTCATCAGGGTGAGATATAAAGATAAAATTTCTGGATTCAGTAAATGACTGCTTTCTAGAGTAACTGGCCTTAGAAATCACAACAAAATATGTCATTCTGAATTTAGTTTTCAGCAGTGCAGAGGATCTGATTCAAGAATGGGAGAGCTGCTCTGTAGTAGCAACCACAGTATAATTAGGCTTCACACTGTCACAAGTAAGAGCAAGCCAAATAGAGCATACAGATACTCAATTTTAAGAAAACGAACTGTGTAAAAATAGGACAAATCCCCCCCCTCACGCACCCCAAAAATAGCAGTTCAAAAAGTGAGAAGCCTGCAAACAGCCAGAAAGCTCTTAAAAATAGAGTACTAGAAGCCAAGGTAAAATGTGCAACACAAATAAGAGACAAAGTGGTCCAAAAAAACCCCTGCATGGTTTGATGTGAAAGGAGGCTATCATGAGGCAAACAGGAAAGCCTAGAAAAACATGGCATGCGCAATGTAAACAGGAAAATAAGAGGGCAAGAAAGAATTTGAGCAGCGTCTTATAAAAGACGTTCAAACTGTTAGTAAAATTTTACTTGACGATCAGCTCAGCACTGGCCATTAAAATTCAGAAAAGAGGCCCTGGAATCATTGTTGACAGTTCTCTGTTGGCTCTGTTGGCAGCAGCAGCCCAAAAGCCAACAGAACAGGGGGCATCGTTAAGAAAAGTTTTTGGGAACAAGACATAGGTCATGATTTTGCTGTGGTAGAAAACTCTGGTGCATCCACAGCTTGAGGACTGCTCTGCATCTCAGGAAAGGCACAGGGGAGTTACAAAAGCTACAGAGAAGGGCAACGGAAATAATTAAGGGACCGGAGCACCCACTTTACAAGGAGAGAGCAAACTTTGGAACTCTTCAAATTGCGGAGGACAAAGCTGAACAGAAAAATACTTGTGGCTTTCTGAACGACTATGAAAGCAATGAATAAAGTAAATGCAGAGGTGGTATTCATCAAATCCTGCAGTATTAGAACTAAGGGTCACCTGATGATAGAAAGAGATGTGCTTAAAAGCAATAAAAGGAAGTGCTTTTTTACGTTGTGCATAGTGCTGTTTTGGAATTTGTTGCCTCATGAGGTTTTACAGCTAGACAAGTTCACAAAGGGATTAGAAAAATTCACGGCCACCAAGTCCACGAATAAACACTAAATTACTAGGTGGGGATGGAGGCTCTAAAATCATTAATATCGCAGCTGTGGAGACAGGGGTGGTAAAAGCAGCCAGGCCTTTCCTGAACTTTTCCAAGTTTAGTGAATTACTCCTACTGCCAGGAGACAAGACTCCTGGGCTAGTGGTTCGGACCACTGACCTAACTGGGCATTTCTCATGTTCTTCAGGTCAGAAATTTCCAACGTCTTCAGAACCACAGCTCCTTCAGGCGTGACTTCCACAGGCGGGACGCCCTGGCTATTAAACCCTTACAAAAATACAAAGCCCCGGAGACGTTATTCTGACTGGTTTTACAGGACAGTTCCGCTGTCAACAAGGAGATGCACTAAGCTGCAACAGGAAAGGCCAGGCACGTCAGCACGAGCCTTTGTCTCTCAGCGTAGGGGAACCTGATGAGCAGAAGTGACTGAAGCTGCAGTCTGGGTCGGGCTCCACAGCATGAGGGCCTCTCCGCGCTCTGCCTCCCACACGCTGGGTACAACCACCCAACGGGCCAAAGCTCTGCCGCCCCTCCCTAGGGATTCACTGGCAACGGTGGAGGAGAGTAGCGGATCCACTAAAATAAATTAATAAATAAAACGGCTTCACGCGGCGGGTGAGAAGACAGCGGTAACCC